AACATGATAATCATAGCCGAAAGGAGCGAAAGATTTTTTCTATATCCGGTGATCACGCCGTGTGTGGTGTACTGGCGTTTATACCCGGAGCTCCAGTTAGTCGTGGTTCATATACGTGTTCACCAGATAAACCTTCGTCGTTGGCAAACGCCCAAACGCCCAAACGAGAATTCTATTTACACACTAGGCATATTGAACCATGAAAATAATCAAACAACATGCCACAACCTTCTTATAGTGCGATCGCCTCTATCTCACTGCCTACCATGCCTAGCAGCGCGTCCCGGATGTTAGTGGCTGGCTGCACCCACCTGTACCCAACCCTACCATTGGCTTTAATGCTCAAATTCCCTTTCTGCTTTCTTACATTTCAATCCTATGGTCGAAGTGGAGTTTTACGCTTAGTTTTTACTTATTTGTTTGTTCTTTGTTTCAGTAAATATTTTAGCGTGTTAATTATGTGCATACATATATACTTAGTTCATAGGAAACTTTGATCTGTGATATGATTCGGTGATAATAATTTGTAAGGGCTAAGATGAAGTTTAAGTATAGATTTAGGTCAAACAAAAATTATTTACAGGTGTTTTTCTTTCTTGCGAAATTAAAATAAGAGGAAAAAATACGTATGTATACTCTACAATCCAAGCTCCTAATCTAGCTTTTCAAACACATAGTTGGACAACAAATACGTAGTGCGAAAACTTAATCGTTTTGAATGTTGATTGGCGTTTTTTGGGATACCCATTTATTTATGCAACTAGGTGCAGGTCCGTCGCCGTTTGAACGCCCTGGAAGAAACCCCTACGTTGACTTGGAAAGGGCGGTAAGGATTCGGATGGCCTGGCGAAGAGATTCGTAACACGTTGAAGTGTCCGAACAAGGTGGAAGACCAGTAGCAGAGCGGATGCGGTGGCAATAAAATAGGCCAACTTTCGGACAGATGGTTTCAGCGGCTTAATGTTGCCCTCGAGGATCAGGGTTGGTGGGCCCTTCGGGGCTATCAGCATAGCGCTGAGGTATTTTAAGGCTCCATTAATCTCCGGATGAATCGGTTCGAGGTTCTTTTTTATGGCGATCGGGCACGAATATTAGTTTTCGATTTAGATATAAGTAAAAGTCGAATTGGAGGTATACTTGTACAAGGTTAATCAAAACTTCACGGTTTATAGCAAATGCGATAAAAGGCGCTACTTTACGTGGCACGATCCGAACAACGTGATGTTCTCAGCAGAAAAAGAAAGATCTCGACCGGAAATCGAGCTTTTAAAGAGTGGGTAGAATCTTGTAATGAGTACCTATGTTATCGATAGCTGTATTCAAATGTTTTGACATTTGTCGAAGCTATGGTTAATTGCGAAGGCAGGGTAGAAGATAGGCAAGTAAAAAACTTAGCCAAACTTGTGTAGCTACTTAAAGCAGGACACGTACCCATGGTACAAGGTATACATTATTTCGTTATTTTGATTTCAATATTTCAATGATATGTTTGAAACCAATTGGAGAATCACATTGGAGTTCAAGTTGCGAACTAGCTTTTTCTCAACTTGAGAAACAGTTATATTTCCATACAAAGAAAAATGACTTTTTTGTTGAGAACGCTGTGATCCTCCACGTGAGGTACTGTTGAGAAACCACTTTGGAGATTTGAGAAATACCTTAGTTCTCAACTTAACCTCAAGTTGAGCTCAAACCTAAATGTTTTTTTTGGCAGATTTTAAAATCGGCCTACCATTTATCACGGATATGTTTAAATCTAACGATAAGAATGTTGCTCATACGCCATGTACGTCCGTTCGATTTTAACTTTTCCGTGATAAAGAGAGGATCAAATATGTATACGCCATTTGAATTTTTGAAATCTGATTTCAGATTCATGATCAGCGACCGTAAGAACCCCCAATTGTAAAGTTTTAAGCGAATCAAATCGATTTCAATTTTTTGCCCTCCATATTGGGTGGACACGTGCAATAATGTCAACGGGATCAATGTCGATCGGCGTAAATTCACTATTGTAAGGGAATTAATTCACATTAGTACACAAGCGTGCGCGAACGCGGACCTCACTGGTGTTATGCGCTTTTAAAGCTGTATACTATGTACATATGTATATATGTATGTATGTAGGTTACGAATGGATTTTGTCAATATATTTTTGAAAAATCAGTAACGTCCATGGATTTTACTGCACGTACGAAAAGGTGATATTGTCTATGGACGATAAGGTGTAGGTAGTGTTTATTTACGTTATTTCCGCTGACCTTATTACACGTCACCGTAAAGCTTGCATGATTTGTTACTTTTCTAAGATTAATTCACTTTTCAATTGTGTATTAATATCAGGATCTTACAAAAGTGAATTTATGTCAATTGATATTAATTGGGTCCGCCATTTTGAATTTTTCCAATCTGACCTCCGATTCGTAATCAACAACCCCAGATGCCCCCAGTTTAACGAATTGTAGGTGAACTTGATACATTTTTAAAAAATCTTCCGCCGTATTGAATTTTCCATTTTGAATATTGAAATTCTAATGCTATATTCGTAACGAGTGACCATAAAGACATTAGAATTCGGCTTGACCCAATAACTGACAACTGAATGACAAATTTATTCT